ATGTTACTCATTTTGTAGTACATTTGAGTCATTGATTAGTCTGTCTAAATGATGACATTTATAAATTTTAGGGTGCTCTTAGAGACTTATCGAAAGCTGCTCCTCAAACATCCCAAATTCTTCCTCTAAATAAGAATGAAGTAAGCAACATTTAAACCGAACAAGTTTATGCTAATTAACAGGTATTTCTTGAACAAACCTGATCTATCTTTGCAGGATGCAAATCTTGAAGCTGATCAAATGATGATAGTAGTGGCCAATGACATAAGCAACTCACAGTGAGAAGAACACAAGGCAAGAGAAGGATCTCAAACAGTCTGATCATCACAGGTGATATATAAGCTTTTATTACCATCTCCTTTGAAAGAATCTGATTAGTCGATTTAGGTTATCCGTATTTGATCTATGAGACGATGTAATCTGGATGATAACGCTCTGCGATGTTTGCTCGTTTTGTTTATGATTTAAAATGCTTCTTCATAGACTCTTGTTACATTAGTCCATTACTCTCATGTAATATGTGTTTGATTTATCTGTTATAAGACACAACTAACTTTATATTAAGAGTTCACCAAAAGAGTGTTCTCCTTATGGACAGATTTTGGATACTTAGCTTTTTCAATGCCTCAGGCTTCTCTAAGTCAAAAACTCATTAATGAACAGAGAGAACAAAAATTGTTTATGATAATATTAGCCAAGGAAAATTTGCCAAAAAGGAGGAAAAAATCTTTCAATTGTGACTATTTTTGTTTTCAAGTGTATATAAGATTTTTACATTAGCATTTTGTCTATAGACTTTTTAATATCCCAATTGTTCAAAGATATTTTAGATTCCTTGTTTTTTAGTATAAAGAACATGCTCTATTTTTATTTTATTTTTGCAATTTCTTTTCTAGTAAATTTCAGGAATTATCTTATCTTATCAGGACAATCTCCTCATAGTCTCATTTTTTTCAAACATAATAATTTACTTATTCAAATACCATATGTAGTATAATAACTTATTTCTGTTTTCTCAACTACATTCCACTATTATTTGCTAATTTGTGAGCTAATATATAAACTTTGAGAATAGGTTTGAAAAAAAAAACAAAAGAGGATATTCTTATACTCATCTTTGTGGACAGGAAAAATAGTTCACATCTTTAAATAAATGTTAACATGAAATATAAGTTCACATTTTATAATCCTTATTTTATTTTCTTTCTCTGAGTCAAATTACTTTTTCATCTTGTCAGGAAAAATTCACTTTTTTCCTAGTGAAGAGAATTAT